GTGTTGTCTATTTCTTGTCCTCTTGCTAGTTGCGTGTCACCCACTTCATCCCAACACAGATGTGATCTGCACTTACGGCTGTAGAGGGCTTCGAACGGAGGTGCCTTGATGCTAGTGTGCTAGATATTGTTGTACGAAAACTTGACCAATGGTAAATGGGTGTCCCATGCCTTGCCAAAATCGACTACGCAAGCTCTCAGCATATCTTCTAGGGTTTGTATGGTTCTCTCACTCTGGCCGTCAGTTTGTGGGTGATACGCAGTACTCATATCCAGTCTCATTCCTAGAGATCTTTGCAACGACTTCCAGAACCTTGAGGTGAATCTGCTATCTTGGTTCGAGATAATAGATATTGGAACACCATGCAACCGTACAATCTCCCTGAGGTATGTTCTAGTTAACTTCCCCAATTTATCCATTTCTTTGATTGGTAGGAAGTGCATGGATTTAGTTAACCTGTCGATGATCACCCAGATGGTGTCGAGTCCGCTCATCGTCTTGGGTAATTTGGTTATGAAATACATGCTTATACGCTCCCATTTCCATTCGGGTATTTCTGGTTGTTGTAACAATCCTGAGGGCTTTTGGTGTTCCACCTTGACTTTGGCGCACCTCAGACATTTGCTCACGTAGGTAGCAATTTCGGCTTTCATGTCCGGCCACCAATACAGTTTCTTGAGGTCCAAATACATCTTATCGGAGCCGGGATGTATGGAGTAACGTGTCTTATGGGCTTCATTCATGACGACTTCTCTAAATCCGCCGAACTTTGGTGTCCAGATCTGATCCATGAAGTAACAAACTCCATCATTCTTAACTTCAAGATTCTTATCTATCCCCCTTAAGGCTTTCCCCGTCACATTTTCGGATTTCAAGGCTTCTATTTAGACTTCCTTGATTTGCGTGGATAGGCGTGAATGGATTGTCATAGTTAGAGACTTTACTCGGCGGCCCGAGTATTCCTTTCGGCTGAGTGCATCAGCCACCATGTTAGCCTTTTCGAGATGATATCGAATTTCGCATTCGTAACCATTTAATAGTTCTACCCACCGTCTTTGTCTCATGTTGAGTTCTTTCTGGTTGAGGATATGTTGGAGGCATTTATGATCGGTGAAGATTGTGCATTTTGTGCTGTAGAGATAGTGCCTTATATCTTTAGAGCGAAAACGACTGCTCCTAGCTCAAGATCGTGCGTCGTGTAGTTTACTTCGTGCGTCTTTAGTTGTCTTGAGGCGTAGGCGATGACCTTCCCTCGTTGCATCAGAACACACCCAAGTCCTTAGTTTGACGCATCACAATAGACCACAAAGCCCTCTGTTCCTTATGGTAAGGTTAGGATGAGCGCACTGCATAAGGCTTACTTTAGTGTTGGAAATGCGATGTCTTGTTTTTCTCCCTAGTCGAAGGTCACACTTTTCTAAGTTAGGGTGGTAAGCGGCTTAGCAATCTTCGAAAAATTTTGTATGAACCTTCGGTAATACCCGACGAGTCCCAAAAAATGTCGGATTTCTGTTGGGGTCCTTTGCGACAACCCGAAATTTCCATTCTGAACAAACCATATCAAGCTAGTAGGAGTTAGAACAGTTACAGTGAAATTTCAGACTTTGGGTATAAGTTTGAGTATTTCAGGTTTAGCAGTTAAGGAGATATCAGGATAGTGGATGCACTAGAGTTTTGTGCAACACTGTTATTCCAATACTCTATGATATTAGAGTTCATTACTGAGATAAAATATTTTCTGCCAGAAATCTCAGGACTATATATAGAAATCTGAACCATATTCATTTATTAGTTGCATTTCCAACTAGAGAAAAGCCGAATTCTCTCTCACGGATCTTCGGTTTTTAGTCTCAAATCTTGAGTACTTCTATCTACACTACTAGAAAAACAGCCTTTTACGAAGCTCATTGCACGTCGTAAAAGGCTCAGACGACGCGCAAATGCGCGTCAAGGAAGGCCCTGTCATAAAGAGAGACGACGCGCATTTACGACGCGTAGTTACGACGTGCGCTTACGACACGCAATTCGTATCAAGGAAGGCCCTGTCATAAAGGAAGACGACACGCATTCGCGTGTCGTTATCTTACGACACGCGTGTTAATGACACGCAATGCGTATCAAGAAAGCCCCTGTCAAGAAAGGCCATGTCATAAATGAAGATGACACACATTTTTGCGTATCATAATTTTAAATGTTTAAAAAAAATATATTATTTATAGATTTACTTATTTTCAAATTAAATTTATATTTAATGTTTCATAGTAGAAAATAAAATATCATATACAAAAAATAGAATCCATTGCATAAATTTAATGTCATACAATTCTATTTCTTACAATATATAAATTTGCATCTAATCTACTATGTACATTGAATTCCAACTAACTAAAGTTGCATCTTGCCTTTTATAATTCTTTAAGACTAATGCTCCAAGCAGCTGATCATATGACTTAGCAAAATTCGACTCCAAGTATTTACTGCATCTTGCTGATAATGCTGCAAGATTTAATTAAAATTCAACTCCAAGTCTTTACTCAATAATCAAAATCCCAAGAGCAACATCCATTGTAGTGGCAAGTTCATTTTCAAAACAAAACATAGTATTTATAATGATAAGGATGTGGAGGGTACACTGTAAAAACTTAGACATGACTATAATGGAGATAACAGGGATAGATATATATACCTTAAACAAATTAGCTTCCAGATCAGATTGAGAGCTGCAAAAAAACTAATATATGTTAAGGTAGTATTTTCAGGATGTAATATGATGACATACATGTCCAGAAGGCTATTATCTATGAGCTTGACCAACACCAAGGCATTATTGGTAGAAATAATGTTACTATTTGTAGGGTTGATAGGATAATGTCTCCTCACTTTGTTCATGTACTGAAGCTCCCTGTTGAATATATTATGTTTTTCTATGCATATGGGAACATGGGGAGGCTCCTATGGGGGTAGATTTGTCATTTGACATACCGGTGACTGAACTGAAGGTGAAGACAAAAGCATTTTCATGAAATTTTTTGTTCATATGAATTCCTTCTACATAGGGCAATTAAGCCAACTAACTTGACTAAGTTGACATGGTTTCTAATAGAAACTAGTTTCTAGATGATGAATGGAATATAAATTCAAGTAGGGTTTTGAAGTTTGAACAACAAATATGTTGTTACCTTAATGAGGGCAGGTGGAATTACTAACCATCAACACCAATAGGCCAATGCGGAGCCTTAGCTGCAACATCGTAGCATTGCAGAATTGCTTGCTCTGCCTTAATTATAGATATTGAAACCACTACACCACAACACAACACAAAGATATTAGCCACTTTTTTGCATCAGAAAACAAAATGAACTTAACAAACCTCCCATATCGGTTATGGTTCATATGAGGTGAGATATCGCTTTATCGCTTAACCCGCAAAAAATCCATGTCACAAAATAGGAAAAAAATAATAATAAAGAAAAAAAATAGTAGGATATCTTCCCTAAAACAACCAATTCTGCAAATATCCAATAACAATGGTAGAACCAATGGTGATCATCTTGCATAATGAAGTGGAGTCGAGGAATTGACATGCCATAAATCATTTATTTCTATCTGTTAAAATACAACTAAGCAGCTGATGTGTCAAAAAATTTAAAAACTTATGCCACATCATATACATAAGTCATAGCAGGTTGCATGAACCATTGTCCTATTTTGAAACACCATTGCATATTATGTATAACAACAAACATTGCTAATCAGAAAAATTGTGAAACATTGTTGTATAAATAAGTAACTAACCCTAAACAAGAATTAGGAGTCCCTTATAAGTCTTTAGTAGCATACTAATAACTTCCATTCCACCAAGGTTTTTATAACAATTTAGAGGTCACTAGAAATGCATGGAAAATGAAATTCATCGTTTACAAGAACCTACTACCATAATACATACCTCAGAAAGAACCATGAGCATCTGATCAATGTACCAAATCTTATCAGGGGAAAGCCTACAACACCAATCAAGAAATGTTATTGTGTGTATGATACTTTGAAAATCATCAAAATATGCTATAACAATATTACATTCACCAAATTAAAAGATAAAAATGAAACCTTCAACTTACTTTTCTACAATGGAGCAAATTTTTTCAGTAAGATCTCCCTTGAAGTCCTGGTCACTTACATGTAGATAATCAATTAACTCCTTGGTCAAAGGTTTGCCATTCGTCTCATTGGATCTGATTTTCATCTTCAAACTGAAACATTTAACAAATCATGAAATTTGATTTAATTAAAACTAAAACATTAAACAAAAATTCATACCTTGTTTAATGGGTGAGAAATCAATTGTTGTTCAAGTTTCTCAATCTGATTTACCAGGTCCACAAACTGAGGTTCTTATATGCCCATATCCTGTCAACAGAAGTCATGTATTTTTGAATTAGTTATGAAAAATAAAAGGTCAGTAAAACGCAAATAAAGTTACCTTGACAGGATTAAGTTTTGGAAGACCTTGAGGAAAATGTTTTTGAAGCTCAGGATTCAAAATTTGAAAAACCTTACCAGTCTTGATATTGCAAATAATGGTATTTCAGATACTATTCCTCTTGAGTTTTGGGGCTCGTGGCCTTCCCGGTTAGCATTCCTGAATCTTTCTTCCAACAACATAAAGTGGGAAAGTACCAGATCTATCATCAATATTTCACAACAATTCAGTGATAGATTTATGCTCCAAGAGATTTGATGGTCTAATAACTAATGTCTCTTCCACTGTGGCATTACTAAATCTTTCCAGAAACAAATTTTTTGGAGGAATCTCCTTTTTATGTGAGGTTATCCATGGCTTTTTAGTTATACTTGACCTCTCTCCTAACTATCTAAGCGGACAAATTCCAGACTGTTTGTGGCATTTCAAAGAACTAAAAGTTCTTAATTTAGAGCACAATAATCTGTCTGGAAGGCTTCCTGCTTCTGTTGGATCTATGATTAAGCTCGAGGCATTGGATTTATACAAGAATGATTTCTCCGAATCTGTCCCAGCTTCTGGAAGGCCTGACTTTTTCACCACATTTACAACCACCCCCACCCCTAATCTGTCCCGGCTTCTCGAACCTTAACCTGAAACAAAAAAAAATAGACGAATATAACCTTATCATTTTCTCAAGTATTTAACACTGCCCCAAGTACAATCTTAATTTTATGAATAAGTTGATGAACAAACACTTCACTAAGCTCAAACAGTTCTTCATGATCATGGGAGCCATGATGACCTCCCTCTACTAATGACTCATTTGTCCCTTCAAGTGCCACATAGGAATCACCTTGGTGTGCCTGGAACATTAAATAAAATATATAATATGGTCTTTAACTATTAATTAAAAAATATAAACATGGTTAAAACAATAAAAAGAACATGACATACTCTGTTATGATGTGCCTTTAAACTGAAAGGCTTGGGTAGCAGCATCCATGGGACAACAATTAAGGATAGAAGTAGTAGCATAAGCTGTCATTGCCATTGCCAATCAGATCATTTCTATTAGTTGTCACCTTCAATAAACTTTAGATGAATACAGTTTATTTTTATAAAAAAATAACATTTTTTGCTTTATTCATTAACTTAATTTACTTAGTTTTCTAGTTATACCTGACTGTCTTTCAGCGGAGATGAGTGATGACCTAAACTCTTTGCTATTCAGTGTTTACATTTTTTATATTACTTTCAAGTTATGATATGTAATTACTTTTGCACCAGACTTTGTATATACTCATATACACTCGTCATTAGCCCAACATTGCAACATGCATCTCATGATTTCTTTTATGTTGGATCACATTGAAAAGAACAGAAATAAATATTCTTAGCTAAAGATTACTTTATAATAAAATCCAATAACACAAGTGAAGGAATGTAGTGGTAAACAAAGAAGTATGAGTTGAAAGTTTGGAAATGGAAGTTAACCTCTACTGTTCTTTTAGCTAAATCAAATTCATTTTTCAAATTCTCAACATTTGTACGCTTGACAGCTATCATCTTAATCACACATCTAGTATTATAAATAGAAAATCGTTATTAAAAGATGGATATGATAAATAAAATATTAGAAAGAGGTTAAAAGCTATCTCCATATTAGGTGAACATGAAAGGTATGTTCAAGCACATTTGGCAGCCATCTACCAAATGAGTAAGCATCAACATTAAAAAAGAAGAAAAACCTCAACTGTGAATAGGAGACAGACCCATGACAACTCTAAGATTCTTTTGAGCATTTATACAAACACATTGTGTGATATCCATGTTCCACATAATCATATAAAAAGTTTACACTAACATCGGTCCATGTGGTTAGAAATTAATGAATTACAATCCACATACAAAAAATTAATTTTGCCATTTCAGTTGATGGATGAATCTCACTGACACTCAAAAATTGCTTTGATAACAAAATTTATGAAAACATGAACCTGTAAAAAGATGTATCGA